AACTATAACAAAACTGAGAGGGATAAATCAACTGTCCTATAAAAAAAAGTCTAATAATAGTATTAGTAATAGCATTACTATTATACTGTGTATTAGTTGCACACTTTGTGACATAGCTACTAAATCTCATTAGCATAATAATAATATGAATGAGGACAGCATTTTCTAAAAATATCTTTCAGAGGACAAGTATGCGCTTCAGCCTGACAGATACCTTAAGAAAAAATAAAGAAAATAATAAGAATATTCTGCAATTAAAAAGGAAACAAAAAAAAACATCTTATTTAAAGTTTTATTCCCTCGGTAAATGTATTCCATTCTTTCACAGAGACATTTATCATCGTCATCTTCACGAATTCTGCAATCTATAAATAAACAAAATCTATAATCTAAGTAATCGGAGCACATGAAAAATATTCTAAAGAGTGAAAAAGCAAAAGCAGTCCTTTCGCTAATTCTTACTATTATTCTCAAATCAATTCTAATGATAGCAGCTATAAAAACAATGAAGATAACAATGATTAAAGTAATATGAATAAAACTGATGTTAAATGATGTTAATGATGATGATGACAATAATGAAAATAAAGATAAAAATAATAATCAATAATAACAAAAACAACAAGAATACTGACAGTAATAGTAATAATAAATTATAACAAAGTATCAAAGAAATATAACAATACTGATCATAATAACACCGACAGTAATGCATTGAGAATGTTAATGCTTTTATCATACCAACATCGCTACAAGCATCACCCGCGTCATCATTATCAATATACTACAGTCGCCACCGCCATCACCAACACCACCATTATCAATATCATCACCACCATCATCACCATCAGCTTCACAGTAAGTCGCGAAAATCCTCCGTGTGCCAATAAAGTCATCGATGCCCCTACATGGTGACGACCGTCCTGAGGGCCTTCCCCTGGTGCATCAGGTCAAAGGCTTCGTTAATCTCCCCCAAGGGCTTCGTAAAGGTCACGAACTCGTCCACCATGACCTTGCCGTCCATGTAATCGTTCACCAGCTTCGGCACGCTCTCGCGGGACTTGAAACCTTGGGGGAAAGAGAGGTGGATTTTTTTTTATTTATTTAAGGATATTTAAAGGAGGAGGGAAGTTGTGGTTAGATTTTAAGGTGGTGATTTTAAGCTGGGATGGTTAGTTTATATTGCTAGATTCTCCGAGGATGAGATTCCTCTTGCACAAATGGAGTATTTTATTTCTATCCGGAGACGTAGTAGACACAGTAACCCAAAATTGTTGAAAATAATTTGTCAGTTGTATCAAGAGCCAATTTTGATGCCTTAACCTAACGCATTAAGTAAGGCAAATGGCGACCAAAGTTCATCTGCGGATTGAAAATTAAGAATCAGAATACGGATTGCACACTTGCACGACCTTTGCATTTTCAGTCGCAGTAGGAAGGAGCCCTGAATTAATCTCGAAAAAATAAGGATAAGGAGCCATCTGCCCATCTTTAATTTAAATAACAATAATAATAATAATAATATTAAATAAACTTTAAACTTTACTTTCTTTATCGTTCCTGTTTTATGTCATTGCCCGTAAAAGATATTAAGGATACAGCTAAATAATAATAGTATTTCATACATCATTATCCTTCCAATTGTGGAATTTGAACGAACGCAGCTCACTTGGGGGATGCAAAAAAGTATTACGTAAATTACATATTCTATGATGAATGAAAATATAGTTTAAGTATCACCATCATCATTATCTGAACAAACCTCGAACATAGCTCGTACCAGTGCTAGTAAAGCTAGTACTGTAGTAATATCGTAGTCTCCCCTGAAATTTAATTATATCATGGTTTTCCCTGAAAATCGCCTAGTCGTGAATTTCTGTTTACTTCTATTTATTTCTAATATAATAAATGCTATTGATATGTGTACTTTGTAAAATATATTGTCTTTATGTTTAACTGTCAAATGTTTTTTTATTTGCATAATTATGTTGTCCCTAGTCCATTGTGAGTACTGTCAGAAAACTGAATAAATTAAGACACTAGAACGGGAATAATTTTTAAACCTTATTACTAAACAATATCCTCTCTACTCGTCTTCCGCCGACGATAAACCTTAACGGACTAATCGCGGCTGTATATATAGTAAAGTTACTCTGAAATCAGCACGGCCTTAACGAAGTAAATACGGCGGTAGAAATACTGTCTGGTTAAGAGACATCATGCTGGGCTTTAAGAAACTTATACCGCCGTCAAACCGAGATAGACGGTTTAGCCACGTCTCTATAATAACATCAAATGTACTAGTGATAAACAACAAGACAGCAGTTGTGTAGTGCCTGGTGATCTATTGTCACCCTTCCATCGGTGTTTATGCCACTCAACAGCTTATCTACTAGCGCCTGCCTTCACATATTCAGCAGGGATTATTCACAGTAAAAGGGAAGCTCAACATCGATGAACTCACTAAATTACCAGATGAGTTTATGGCGTCGCTCCCTATTTCCCGTTCTGTGGCCGAAGTAGCTTCCACATCTCAAACAGAGCGGTTAGCAGAACTTTTTGCAAAACTCACTATCCAGGTAATGCTTTCCAAAATCAAGTACAACTTCTGTTTCTAATAACAATAAGCCAAGCTACATGTCAAGAAGTCGGTCCAGAGAAAGAGATGACAGATGCTTGTCACAGCAAATTCAAGGAAGCAGCAAAGAAGGGCCTTCAGCCCTGCTATTCAATAAACCTTTAAACAGCAAAGGCGAGCATTAGAGGCGCATAATGTTCGCCACACCTTTTCCATACTTCTACAGGTGTGGGACCCACTCTCCAACATTAAGTTCCTAGTCGACACTGGTGTCTGTATACAAACGGAGAACTCTTACACTCAACCTCAAGCTTCAGCGCACATTTCAGTGGACTTTCTATGTAGCAGCTGTGTCTCAAGCCATACTTGGTACCGATTTTTTATAAACTTCAACCTCCTAAAAATCGGAGACTCCTTGACATTACTTCTACAACGTCTGCTAATGCTCAACTTCTACATGGTTATAGCTTGCAGATTAACACAGTTGATGCCAATAACCCATTTGCATCACTGCTGGAGTCCTTTCCTTTACTTACACAGCCATACTCTGCAACCCTTCGAATAAAGCATTCCATTACTTATCACATAGCAACAACTGGTCGCTCTACACATGCTAGTTTCGTCGATTACCTCCGGAACGGTATCGTTTAGTAAAAGCGTTTAAGTCCCTACTACATACTACATCTACATATGTGTAAGCTCAAGCAACTGGTCATCTGCACTGCATGTCATTCTTAAGAAGAATGGAGGACTACGACCATGCGGTGACCACAGAGCTCTCAGACGCTGATGGTCGTTCCAACATTCAAGAATTTACTTCACAATTTTCTGAATGTTTCATCTTCTCCAAAACTGATCTGGTGAAAGCATTCCACCAATTACCAGTCCACCTTCAGACATCCCGAAAACAACCATTATCACCCCATTTGGTTTGTATTAATATGTCCAGATGCCTTTTGAACTGAAAAATGCTGCACAAACATTCCAGTGTCTCATTGATGAAGTTATACAAGGACTACCATTTATCTTTGCTTATATTGATGATCTACTCATCGCCAGTAAGGATGCTGCTGAACATCAGGATCATCTAGTGTAAGTTTTCAAACACCTGAATGATTGTGGCATCCATATTAATGTAGACAAGAGTGTGTATGGAGTTTCGTTTGTTAATGTTCTCAGCCACACAGTTTAAGCAGCAAGTATCACTCCACTTCCTGCCCAACGTGAGGCCATTCAACAGTTTCCTAAGCCAACTACACAGCCCCAGCTCAAGGAATTTCTAGGGATTAACTACTACAACAAATTCATTCCGAAGTGTTCTCTACTTCTCCAAACTTTGTATTCGAAGCCCTCAGTGCGGTAACTACATTCGGCTTTCCCAGCCAAGATGCTCCAACGTCCATCACTACTGATGCCTCCAACACTGGCACTGAAGCTATTCTGCAACAATATGGGCTACTTTTCTCCTTTTTGTGCCTTTAGGCATCAGGAGCTCACTCAAATCTGACCTTGGCTCCATTTCTGTAGAGTTTGTAAATGGGACATCAGTCCGACTACTCTGCAGTTCCACTGGCTTTATTACCTACTCTACTCAGGATTATGCAGCCAAGCTCAGGGATGTGATGTCCAATTTTCGACCTGTTCAGCCATGTCTTCTAGCAAGTCTTTCGTAAGCCAGGATCTCCATGACTGTACCCATGTCTTCGTCCTAGTAGATTCCATCCACTACTACAACCACCATACGAAGGTTCATGTGAAGTTCTTAGACACACAAGAAAGACTATTAACATGGGACTTCTGCTTACTTGCTAGATGTACCGAACAAACCATGTCGTTCCTCCTTCCTCGTCACTAGGAGGGGAATAATGTAATATCGTAGTCTCCCCTCAAATGTAATTATATTATGGTCTCCCTTGAAAATCGTCTAGTCAGGATTTTCCGGTTTACTTTTCTTATACAATAAATACTATCGATATGTGTACTTTGTAAAATATAGTCTTACTGTCAAATGTTTGTTTATAATCCGTAGTCCATTGTGAGAATTGTCAGAAAATTGAATAAATTAGGACACTAGAATGGGATTAATATTCAAACCTTATTATACAATTATACTTATTATACAATATCCTCTCTAGTCTAGTCTAATACGGTAGAAATACTGTTTGGCTAAGAGACATCATCCTGGACTTTAAGGGACTTATACCGCCGTCAAACCGAGATAGACGGCTTAGCCTCGTCTCTATAATAACAGCAAACGCGCTAGTGATAAACAACAAGACAACAACTGACTATTCCTACTGCTATTACTACTACTACTGTTACTGCTACTGCTATTGCTATTATTACTACTACTACCTCCTGTCCGCCCTCCCTCCCTCCCTCCTCCTCTCTATCCGCTCCTTCTTCTCCCTCCCTCTCACTC